AGCCTCACCCAGAAACGAAGACCCCAACCAGAAAAAAAAAAAAAAATAAATAAATTAAAAACGAGAGGCCCCCACCACCAAAAAAAAAAAAAAAAAAAAAAAAAAAAAAAAGCTTTCCTAAATGCCAAAAATAGATGAAAAAGGGAGAAGGGGACAATATAAAACAGATTATATCACTGAAGATTAGATATTTAATTTATATACATATTAAGACAACAAAATGGCAGAACTTAGGCCAAACATCAATCATATCATTAAATATAAATGGAGACAATTTATCTTTTTAAAAAATTTTTTGAAGTAAATTCCAATACTGTGCATAATATGAGAGGCACATCTAAAAGAAAGAGATTCAAAAAGGTTTAAAATGAAAGGACAATGAGCACAAGGGATCTTTTGGGGTCAAAAAGACTCAAAATATTAATCAAAAATATATGATAAACCTATTAATTTCATAATTGACGCTTAAAATAATAATGGTCACCTTTGGAGGATATTAGAGAACAAGCTCATGATTTTCAAAAATGGCAAAGAAAGAATCTAGCATTTATGCTGTCTTTTTTATGTGAACTATTTAGGATAAACAAATGAGATGGGGAAGTTTTTCTTTACAGGAGTATTTCAGTTAATAAATGCAGAAGGAAAAAAAAGAAAGAAAAGAAAAGAAATGCAGATGGAATTATACTGTTAGAATATCACCACCTCGTAGCTGCTAATGAATCAGTGGATCACATTAGCTGCTAACATCACAAAAAGATAGCCAGATATTTATTTATGTGTATCCTGATGGAAGGACATAACACAACACCACCTATGAACTAATGTGAAAAAATCAAATTTCAATCCGATTAAGCCTCTAGAACAAGGTTTCTCAATCTCAGCACTATGAATATTTTGAACTGGATAATTCTTTTTGTGGGGGGCTGTCTTTACCAGCATCCCTGGCCTCTATTTGCTAGATGCCAGTAGTACACCATTCCCTCAGCTGTGACAACCAAAAATATTTCCAGACACTGCCGTGGGGAACAGAATTGCCCCCATTTCAGAACCATTGCTCTAAAACTACCAGTTTACAGGAAATACAGGAGAGCAAAAAATATGCTAAATGACTCCACAGGAATACAGTCTGCAAAATCTAGAACGTAAGGGACTATATAGGGACAAATCATTTACTTTAGCGCTGTCCAATAGGAATATAGTGCAAGCTGTATGTCATTATAAAGTCTCTAGTCACCAAATTTTAAGAAGTAAAAAGAAATAGGTAAAATTATCTGTCCATTTAATAGTATATTTAACTCAGTAAATTAAAATGTTATTTCAACATGTAATCAATATTGGAAAATTATTGAGATATTTTACAATTTTATAAGCCCTCTAAATACTGTAATAAATACTTACATCTGAATTTAGATGATAAGTTTTCATCAGAAATATTAGATTTTATAAAACTTAAGAGTTGCAAAAGTAAATTCATATACTCAGATTATTCTAAACATTTTCCGGTGGCTAAAGTGAGTATTGATTTTAAATTATTTTAAATTAAAAATTTAGTCTCTCAGAACTCTAGTCACATATGACTTGTGCCTTACTTTATTGGGTAGTGCAGGACTGTAACTAAGATAAAAAGGGGAGGGGAAATGTATAAGCTAAAAGGGACTTAAAAAACGTACTAACCAAATGCTATGTGTGGACATTATTTTGATCCTGATTTGAGCAAAGCAACTACTTTAAGAAATGGAATTTTGAATATTGACTCAATATCTGATAATAGAGTTTACTGACAGTATTTTTTAAGTTTGATAATGTGGTTATGGACTTTTTTATCTTTTAGAAATACATTGCCGTAATATTTACAAAGAAAATAATGTCTGGAATTGCTTCAAAATAATCCAGGGAGGGAGCCATGTAGGGAGGGAGTGTAGATGAAACTGTGATGGTCATGAGTTGAAAATGGTTGAAAAAGCTGGATAGTAGATACATAAAGGCTTATTATACTGTTCTCTCTCCTGTTTCATATATTTCTACCTTTCCCATAATAAAAAGTAAATGTTTCCATTCTTGGCCATGATGAAACAGGGGCTCAGTTTACCCTCTTATTTTAAACCACTAAAAGATGGGACAAAGTATATAAAACAAAGATTTTCAGACATTGAATAACAGGCAGCACGGGACAGTGATTCCCTAAGAGAAGGGAAAGCAGAACCAGGTGAACCAGCTCTAAAATTGCCTTAATTAGCTTATTGCCTGGAGAGTTTCTAGGCCACGATGTAGGGAAGAGGGATTTAATAGGAGAGAGCATAACAGTACAAATCCTACAGACATTAAAAGGATTTGTTCATTGAAATGAACAAATTTCTTAAAAGATACAGGCTATCAAAGATCACTGCAGAAGTAGTTAATTAGAATAGCCCTATGTTTACTAAAGAAGTCATATTTGTAGTTAAAAGCCTTACCATAAAGAAAACTACAGGCCCAGAGGCTTCA